AAATATTAGTCATTTAAATAATACTTTCTCAACATCCTAGACATTTATTGTGAGGATATCGACTTGTAGATAAGATTTATGTTCTGTTAACGAATGAATATCAAGTTGTGATGTAGTGTTGAAGAGAATATATCCTTTTGAAATGAAGTTTGTGTCATTTATGAAGCTGCAGATGGTATTGAAACATTATCATCATAAGTTCTTATTCACATTGGTCCACCTTCAACAGATTGTATTGTTATCAGTGTGGTTGAATTTGTCTATGATCTAGGAGTAAATGTCACGTTTGGTACATGGTACATGGTTCCTGAGGTACAATGACCTGTATAAAGTTGGTTCTACTGAATAAGACGATACTTCAAGTGTCTGCTTAGTGGCATTATACTAATATTGCAAGCGAATACTAACCTAAGACCCAGATGGAAATAACATTAGAAGAGACGTTCATCTTAATCAATAGTTTGATGTTAATTCCTCACTATTCGTTACTTGATACTTCTGAATGAATTTAACAATGAATGACACAGATGGCTTCGTGAAGCATGTCGGCGTTGAATATATGATCGTAGAATATGAAGAGAATTTATCGAAAAGAATATTCTTCATTCAAATATTTTTCAAATGTTTGAGCAGCCTTAACATGCTTTATTATTGCAATGAATCACTTAATCAATGCGTTCCAGAGTTCGTGATTATTTGTTTCAGCTCATATAGCATATAATAATTCCTAACATGAAATATAACTCTGTAAAATTGTCTAACCTATGTGTTATTCTTATTAAGCCAGTATTTCTCCTGAAGTATAATGCTTGAATTATTTCGACAGTGTTGGAGAAAAGCTAAAGGTTGTTAGATTAGATTATAGATCTACTCACAAATTATCTTCGAAATCTTCATTGATTTATCAATCTCTTTTCTTTTATTTATTTGTGACTTTTGTTGATCTAACTTGGTTTTTTCGGGGGTGGGGAAAAGGTTTCTATTTCAACGATATTATGAAAGTGATAAACTGGAAATTAATTCCACGCCATGGGTTAGGCCATGCGGTGATCATCACACTCTCTTCTTTCTACCTAATCTTACTAATATAATTCTGTAATAACATCTTTTGTACTGTACAGTCATCAAGATAGACATAGTACTTGTGTAATCCACATTAGGTACTAACCGTAAAGTGTGACTAAGATGTTAGTTGACCCCCAATCATTTGACACAGATTATCTACGTGTGTAATGTACAGTTTTTTCAGTAGATATAGTGATAAACAGAGCAATATTTTAGAACAAAACTATTTTCTTTAGTTACATTCAAAGTTTGAACTTCGAAAATTCATACAACACAATTTACATTACTAGTTGAATTAACCATGTTGAATGTATTTCTATGAATTTTAAAAAAATGAATATTAAACGTTCGTCCACGAAACCGATAGGACTTGGGTTGGAATCTTACTAGACGTATCGTGGATGCTCACTGCTGAGGAGTCTAATACTAAGATGAAACGGCCGTCCAATGCTTTCATGTTTACCATGGTGACCTAGATTCAATTGATTCATGAATTCAATTATTGAATTACTTATCATTTACTTTTGAAATATCACCATGAGTTTGAATTCTGTTTAATTCACTGTTATAATTCACTTCATATTCCAGGTATTGAACTTTTAAAAATCATGTTTTCAGGTTGAAATATGACTTTAACACGTTTTGTTCGTGATATGTTCATGTTCGCAAATTATATTTTTACTTAGAAAAACTGATAATGGAAATATGCGGGTTTTTTTTCGTAAGGTTCATGCAGATGATGTTGTTTAGAAGAACGATGAAAGCTCCAAACCATCCAGCTCAGAGAACAAAACTCCATCAAAGTCACCCACCTGAACTAGGATTACTGACGGTCCTAAACTCGGGTAAAGGAGGAGGGTTGGGCAAATAGTCCGCAACTCCATCCCATAGAAAACAATCTTATTAAATACGCTAACGAGAATAAACAACTTAAACCATTTAAACTGTGAACTGGGAATTTAAGAAACCTCATTCAGAAGAATTATGACGCCTCATGATGAAAGTCGAGAAAATTCGGAATTCACAAACAAACAGAATAATCTTAATATATTCAACAATTATACTAGACGCTCAAATGCATTTCTATTAAGTCTTTTGAAAATAATTACACGACCACACAAAACAAGTCTCCTTAGTTCCAGTCAGTGTATACAGTTGGTGAAGTTCCAAGGAATTAAGTTAAATCTGATATTTCAAAGATAATGAAAAAGCCAAAAAAATAAAACAATCACATCTGTTACGTCTTTGTTCAGTCTGCCCACTAATATACACAAAATAACTTGTCTCAATTCAGATTAAAGCCTTGATACGATAGGCCAACTGATTTAGCCTTGACGCTAGAAACCTGTGAGTTCCAAGTGACACTAACTATCCTAGTTAGAGGGACGAAAACGATTCTATCACCCGATTGCTTGATAAATGAGAAAGATAGAGAAAAGATGAGTCAACTAAAACACTACTCGGTTCATTCCCGATTCCGATTTTCAATTTCCAACTCACAACTCCACTTCGGATTAGTATAGAATGACACTCGAGCAAGTAGATAACTAACATGATCACAACGCACAAACAACTAGGAAAATATAATTATGTTCAAATCTGGAAATTCGAGTGGAAAAATAGGGTAGTGAAGGTTGTGTTTAAATTACCATGGATTTGGAGCTGAATAGGGTATGGCAGTGAATCGTGCATCAAACGAAAGCTTATGGTGTGTAGAATAAACCAGGTGCAAAACTAAATGTTAGTGTTCTACAAGCTTTCAATTAAGTGAAATAATGTCCCTCAAAACAGCTTTTGTTGCTTGTCATGGCTTCTTTGCTTCCCTGTTCACATCACTAATATTGAACAACTGGTGATGAGATATCTTTACATCAACATTTCTAGTAATGAATAAGGCTTTTATAATAATAATAATAGTAATAATAATAATAATAATAATAATAATATCTCTTATTATTATTATTGGATTGCATCACATTTCCGTAGGCGTGATTTACGTCTATCAATCAAAGGACGTGTTTACTGCGCAGAAGTTCGTTCCGTCTTAATTTATGGCAGTGAAACATGGCCAGTAAGAGTAGAGGATATTCGGAGGTTACTAGTATTTGATCATAGGTGTCTTCGAAATATTGCTCGTATATCCTGGGACCACCGAGTAAGTGATGTAGTTGTTAGGAAACGGGTACTAAGTAAGGATGGCAAATCAATTGATGAAGTAATGAAACTTCATCAGTTGAGATGGCTGGAAAACGTGTTACGTATGCCCAACAACCGATTGCTCCAACGTGAGATGTTTTCACTCATAAGTGGACTGAGCCATGTTGATAGGTGTAGACTAGCTGGTTGGAATCCGTGAGACGGTAGCAACCGATGGTTAGAGACCTTGAATAACATGGCTCAAAATCGTTTGCAATGGTGCAGGTGCATCCACACTTTGTGTTCTCCCGAATTCTAATCTTCTGGATTCCCTTTGTCTCTTTTTATTTCTCTTTCCAAATTTATTTCACTGGATTATACTCCTTGAATGACATCTTCAAACCCTAATCTTTCCGATTACTGATTATACTTTTACTACTATGGGATTTAAATCAACAATTGCATCTCTGTGGTAATTTGGTATGGCAACTTGAACTGATGTACGTACGTACGAAGTTCTACGTTGTTACTGACTGACTGAGTTTCTCACTACTCTCAGTACCTATTAATATCTCTTCCGTTCTTTATGTTAGCGTCCGTTCATTGTATCTAGTAGAAACAAGACAAGTTGGATCGGTACATATTTATCAATTTCGGTTCACTAATAGTGTATAAACAAATACTTTCATTGATTGAAATAGAATAAAGATTTCAACAATAATCGTTTAGTGAGAAGACTATCACCAGAGTAGTAGATAAATCGAAGATTTATATCACGATATAAAAATAAAGGAGGAAATAAGTTTATACTACTTTGTTAAACTTTATTGATTAAGAAGGATGGCCAGTATAGAACGTTCATGGTCTCTAAACGTACTAACACTGATAAGAGTTAAGTGTAAAAACTAATCGTGATTGGCAATATCAAGAAATAAAATTGGTCTATGACTCTTGAAACAAGCTATGTAGAGTAATAAAAAACATACTAGTTGACAATCTTGAAATAATGGAAGTCGATGGACGCATAATGTACTTTGTATGGTAGGAATGTAGCAAAAAATACCCACTTTTCAAATAATGTTTTGCAGGTAGAATTAATCAAGGATTGATCTAAGATGGGATACTACTGGCTAGCTGTTAGCAACGTCTCCATCCAAAAACTGTATTCCCGTTATCGCTAATGACTTATATTGACAGTCATTAGCATCTTATTTTCACAAGCACAATACACAAATATACTGAGTGTTATAAGCTAGAGGAAGGGGGGCAAATTACTGAATACAGTAGGATGGATAGATTACAAAGGAGATGTATCGAAGGGGACAATAACATTATCAGATATTACATAGAAAACATGATGTTTGCAATCACAATCAGATAGATAATGTCAAATTATATAATCACATCTATTAACCCTACTGTTCTCACAACAACAAATACAAATGCCCAGTGATATACAATGATGGCGACGATGATGTTGATTTCCGTAATCCGTTTCGTTCCTACCACTGACTGATTGAATTAATGAATGACTGTCACATGAAACGAACCGTCTTCATACAATACCTACTCTCTCGCAACATGCGTATATTCATGCATCGTGATCGAACAGCATCCTGATGATAAGCGACAAATAAATAACTGTCCATTTCACTGACACTTCACTGATCAACACATACACACACACGCAAATTGCACCACACTTGAAAAAACTAGAGAAAACGGATGGAGTGTTGCAGTAATTGATTAGGTTGTTTATTCATCAGAAATGTCTTAACACAATTGCGTGTGGATTTTTATCGATAGATTATGTACACACATGAAGGAATGATAAGAGTTGGTCGGAGAATTGTTCAAACATTGTTGAAGCATTGTTCAAATATTGGAGCGTACAAAGTCCAACATTCTAGCCACACTGGCATACTCGACAATGATATCGGGAAGGCTTGGCAGTGTGACACCATGTGATACGACACCGAGTACTGGACCTTGAGGGGATGGAAGGAGAGGTCCACCACTGTCACCTGGAGCGGGTAACTGTCCGAAATTCTGACCTGATTTCACACAAATAGGATCGCCACTGGTCGCGTGTCGGCATTCCATTATAGTCGCTCGACCTGTGTCAAACAAACAACAGAACACAAAAGAACAGAACAGAATAAAATAGAATAGAACTGAACAGAATAGACAAGTGAATTTACAAAATATCAACTGGCACAAATTATCCAACTTCAAACTATGCACACAACAAATACTCCACACGCAATCCCACATGTGCACCATATTCGACAATCAAGTCACTGTCCATCTCACCAACATCCCATCATATACATGAAACTGATTGACCACCTACTTCATATACAACAACACACATCCATCGTTTGCACAAATATCTCATGATTCGTCTCTCATCCAAGTGCTCTCACTCACTCACTCACTCACTCACTCACTCACTCACTCACTCACTCACTCACTCACTCACTCACTCACTCACTCACTCACTCACTCACTCACTCACTCACTCACTCACTCACTCACTCACTCACTCACTCACTCACTCACTCACTCACTCACTCACTCACTCACTCACTCACTCACTCACTCACTCACACACACACATCTCATTCCATCACATTCCATCGCATCACACCTCCTCAATAACCGAGATACAGATGGAGTCACTCAGCTAGTCAACTGTCACAGGTAGATCCGAACACATTTATTGTGACACTGACCAACACAACAACCGGATCACATACACAGATAGATAGACAGACAGACTGACTGAGTCATGTTGTTTGTTTACAACCACCACCATCACCACAACAATAACCAACAACAACAACAACAACAACAACAACAACAACAACTCACTCACTCACTCACCTTTCTTTAAAATTCCACCATTTTTACGTTGTGGATCACGGTCGTGATCATCCCTTCCATAACCAACAATGAAAACCGCAGTTCCAGGTCTCGGTATATCCGTTGGCTGTGGCAGACTCAGCACTCTGATTCCACTCTGTAAGTCGACCGTTTGAGTGAGCGTTATAATTGCAATGTCGAATCCACTGAGTGTCTTTTGGATTGGTCTCCTCTGTCGTGCCGACATACAAGAGGGCATATATCCTGGTGCTACCGCCACTCCAGACGGTTGGTGATGGATGCCTTGTTGGTCGCCATTCCTCAATGTGAGAAATGAAACCTGAAATACACAACGTATGATCACATTAGATCTATGCAAACCAACTACACACACACAGTGACATACGGTGACACACACACACACACACTGACACAGAAACACACTGTGAAATGAATCGATCTCATTGAGCAACAACGTGTTTCAGTGTGATCTCTTACCCGAACGACTGGCAGCGGTGAGCAAACACAATGACCAGCTGTGAGCACTGCCCTTGTTGACACTAATGAGCCTGTACACATTGTTCTCTCTGTGGTCAGAAATGCGATGAACGGGAATTCAGTGCGTTGTTGCACAGGTTCACCACTACGTATCAACCATGTTGACACACGTTCAAATGTTAGACAGTAGGTGAACAGCGTCACCATCAGAAATCTCCATCGGTTCAACATGGCTATGTGATCGTTGCAATCAACCACCTACCTACAATCTTGCAACACATTCACCAATTTATATGCGTCAATATTCCCTGACTGTTGAGTACATGTGAGTGATTGTGCATGTGTGTCAGTCAGTTTACTACGATTATGCACTATTGATAAAACCGACTTGCACTCCACTTCAATCATGGATTGTTGTTGTTGTCGTCGTCGTCGTCACGGTTTCACTTTGTGTGATCATGGTCATGACACGCCCCAATTATTAATAGGGAAGTGCACGATTCTCGTGTGTTGTCGTCGCATATTTTGCTGTATGATAATCTTTTACAAGTAGTCCGCAATTCTTTCCCGTAGAAAGTAATGTTGCTCAATACTCTAAGGCGAATAAACATTTTAAACCATTTAACTTATGACCTGGGAGTATAAGGAACTTGATTCAGATGAATTATGACACCTCATAAATAAAGTGTTGATACTTCTCTATTCCTGAGACATATGCCATTCTAGCAATCGGTGCATTAAGTTTTATATGTACATGGAACGTCCGAACAAATTAAGAGACAGTGAGTAGCAGTCATATAGAAGATACTTAAGAAGATACAAGTATACATTGCTTAGAATAAGCGAAACCCATTGATTCCAAGGTGGACAGGAAAGTTCAGATACGGGAAAATCGGAATTAGAAGTAACTCCGAAGATGTCACATGTTCTATTCAGGGGGTTTCGAGAGGAAGAACAAGTGCCGCTGACAGACTAGAAAGAATGACACCTCATCAAAATACCTAAGAAAGGAAATCTGAGCAAATGTGAAAACCAAAAATGCTTCACACTACTGTGATTTACAGGAAGGGTTTTCAACAGATCGTTGCTGAACTATATGAAATATTCAGTAGACATCCAACTTCGACATCATTAGATCTGATTGCGTGAGGATCGGTCGTGCATAGACCAAATCACATAATTACGGATCATCGTTGAACAATCAATTTAATAAAACTCGTCACTATACATTTAACAGTGCGGATAGGAGAACCATATGGAGCTTTCTTAGACAGCATTTAGTGGGTAGCTGAGAAAATCGTCAACATCATATGGAATTCATTCAACAGACTACAGCGTAAATTGGGGCATGGTGGATAGCTGACAGATGCATTGGAAGTGGGAACCGATGTAATACAAGGATGACTAATCTCCCCTCTCCTCTTTCTACTAATGGTCGTCGACATGATTATGAAGACCACGACATATGAGGCGAAGCACGGAATACAATGGACAGGTTGAATTCAACTAGGCAATTTGGACTTCTCAGATGACCTGTCTATTTTATCACATATAAACCAACAAATGCAGGTGAAGACAATCAGTGTAGTAGAAGTCTATTCGTCAGTACGCGTCAACAAATACAGTGGAAAAAACCAAGATCGTGAAATGCAACACGGTGAATACCGACCCAACCACACTTGATGGCGTAGTTGCAGAAGAGGTGGAATCTCACATAAAAAGGTACAAGTATTTATAAACAATTATCTATGTGATATACTGAATGTCCGTTGACCGGATACCATCAGCAATAGCCTACTGTTGGAGAGAACAAACCAAAATCCATGTGAAAAGGAAATTCGAGAAAGACGTTGTAGGTGAATAGGAAAAACACTGACCAAATCAGCAAACTGCATTACGAGGCAAACTTTAACTTATAATCCTTAAGGTAAACAGAGAAGTGTAAGACCAAAGAATACAGTGAGTCGAGAATAGGAAACAGACATGTGAATAATAAACAAAAAAGTGGAAAAAACTGGAAATGATTGTCCAGGAGGGAGTTGGATGGAAAATACTGGTGGGTGGCCTTTGCTTCTCCACGACGGATGTTCTTTGTAAGTAAATAAGTAAGTAGGTAGTGTAAGTAATCCAATGCAAATCGTGTTTTCTTCCCATTCTGTGATCTCTATGAGTTTATTACAAATAGGTTATTTTTCTTACTTAAAGTTGACTTTACCAGTACCAACTCCAGGGAAATTAACACTTTCGAAATTGATTGAGATTGCTGTTAGACCATCATTGGAAACCAGGAAACACTGAATGGCTGTTTGTCTTATTGTGGGACTCCTCAGTAGTACTCATCTACGATCTCGCTCGCAGGGCCTTCAGCCAAGCATGCGAACGTTTAACCTACTAGGCCACTGAGTGGGCATCCAACGGTGTTATTGTCTAACCTTAACCAATCCACAAAATTACGCGACCATTTTCTGTTGTACTGAGTTAGATACCTATCTTTACCCAACACGGATTAAATCCACTGGTTACTCTATGCGTGGGGTTGTAGATGCACCATATTAGGACCAAACGGTCGTTCAATGCTTCCAGGTTTTCTATAGTGATCTATCTTCAATTGACTCATAATCTCAACTATTGCCTAATAATTTAATTCTAATATTTTGAATTTACGCGCATTTTTTTCTTCTTTTATTCAATGTATAGTTTCCATATCAATATGAACATTATAATTGATTATAGAACAAATAAATTAAATTCTACTTTCAATATTATGAATTTAATTCACATAAATCTTGTGTTGACATAGTAACCAATATGTAGTAACAATGATATAATATTGATTATTATTGATTATCTCTCAAGTGCATTACTACATTTTTCATTATTGATTATTGTCATTTTGTATTATGTAAGATAATTGTGGACATTAAAAGGTAAATTGATGATAAAATAGAAAATATCAGTTTTCTATTTTACCATGTAAACTAAACATAGTTAAGAGAGATTCCCATCCATTTTAATTCATTTATAAAGTATTATACGTTTAACTATAGTATCATTAGGAATTTGTTAGTGATTAAGCTAAGCAAGTGTGAGAGACTGTGTGTGTGTGTGTGTGTGTGTGTGTGTTAATAGATTCCGCTTTAATGAAATATCATTGAAACTTCATTATTTTAGAAATTTAACACACTTAACAAATTGTATTTGAATTAACGGTACTTCTTATACACTACTTAATAATGTCCGATTCATAAAAAAAGAATTAATATCAGAAGGGGTTTTGTAGATATAATAGTAATTACAGTGGTTGAGATCATGAATCAGTTGAAGCTAGACCATCATGGAAAACCTGTAAGTTAGACATGAACACCGTTGGATGCCAGCCTGCTTAGTGGTCAAGAGGTTAGGCATTGATGATCAAAGTCATTAGGAAAGTGAAATTATAGAGTTTTTATTTAACACACTTAAGTAAAAAAATAGTACGAAATGTCCGATTATTGGTTCAATGTCAATGAATGAAAGATTTTTGGTATTTTGCACATGAATTAAACGGTAATAGGGTAAGTATACATGTTTTCATTTGTGATATTTTTCCCCAGAATTCTATAAAGTGAATATACAGTTAAGATTCAAACGGAAATAATACTAAATACAGGATGATTTATCGACCTACATGGTAAAGGATGTTCAAACCAGGTGTCTACGTAAAGAGAAAATTAGGAAAAGATGTCAGAAGAGGATAGGAAACACACTTTGAGGA